ACATGTAACAGCTACGTACAAAAAAGTTATAAAATTGTCCTTGGTTTTACAATGATAAATGAAAACATTAAAATTCTCCAATTGAACAAGGTATGCAAGGTTTTTCATGTTGTTGTTTTGTTAAAACAGTGAGAGCAAAATAACTTACTGGAATATAAAGATAAGAGCAGATGAGCATGCCACTAATGGAGAAAAGGGGGTATTTTCACAGAATCAATATTTTTCCCCAACCCATCTCCACCTGATGTCAATCAAAACATATCGTTGGCCATTTAGTTTAAAAAAAAAATGCAATATGCTTGTGCACGTACACCAGTTTCTTTATGTACAATAAAGGAATAGGGAAGGGGAAAATGAAAAGAATAGAGAAAACTATACTGTAGTAGTCAGGATGTGGTGGAACCAAATTGCAGTTTTCTAATTGAGAATGTCATCTTGGTCTATAATAACAGAGTTCTGGAGTAAAGTAGCAGGTTCCCTTTTTAGTAGACACCTCCTGTCTGCTGTTGGAACACATCAATTGTATCTTCATCCTCCATTTCCAACTGTGCAGGCGTGTCTGTTTCATTGATTGGCTGCCCATCAAATCGGAATCTGATCTGCCTCATTGACAAACCCTGTCGTTCACAATAGGCTTTCATTAGTTTACTAAGTGGTGTATGCCTCTTAATCTTAAACTGCACCACAGAACCATCCTGTCCCGCCACCTTTAAATTTATGTGATCGTTGTTCTCAGTCTTGACTCCTTCCTTAGGCCTTTCATCTGCCATGGCGAGCGCCCGAGTCTCCTCAGCTGCCGCTTCACAAAAGAGGTACCAGGTCCACACCGAACGAGCACACAGGCACCACCAGAAGCGGCAGAAGAAGGAGGCGGCAGCGGTGGACGAGGGAGAGGTCGCGCGCACCTCTTCCATTCTTGAGATACTTTACTAAGAAGAATATTTTCCAGCTCCATCCATGTAAACTGTTTTTGATTATTCTTATGTGGTGTATTATTTTAATGGATTTACATATGTTGAACCAATTTTGCATATCTGGAATAAAACCCACGTGATGGTGGTATATAACCATTATAATGTGTCATAATTTTCTGCTTGCTAATATCTCGCTGAATATTTTTGCATCAATATTCATTAATGATATTGGTCTATAGTTTTCTTTTTTTGTTGGGTCCTTTCCTGGTTTGGGGATCAGGATGGTATTTCTTCATAGAATAGGAGGATTACTTCCTTCTCTATATTTTGGAATAGTTTATGCATTATAAAGGAACTAGTTTCTCTTTGAAGGTTTTATAGAATTCTGGTGTGAAGCCATCCAATCTAGGTCTTTTCTTTTGGGGGGAGATTTTACAATAGCACCAAAGATGAAATACCTGGGAATATATCTAACAAAAGACATGAAAGATCTCTATAAAGAGAATTATGAAGCTTTGAGAAAAAAAAAAGCAGAAGATGTCAACAAATGGAAGAACATACCAGGCTCATGGCTGGAAAGAATCAACATTGTTTAAATGAGACCATACTACCCAAAGCAATCTATAGTTTAATGCAATCCCCATCAAAGTACCACTGTCCTACTTTAAAGAACTTGAGAAAACAGTGCTTCAATTCATATGGAACCAGAAAAAACCCTGAATAGCAAACAATAGTTCTCAGAAATAAAAATAAATATGAAGGCCATCATGCTGCCAGATTTCAGGTTATACCGTAAATCTATAATGATCAAAAGCATGGTATAGGCATAAAAATAGAGATGTAGACTTATGGAATAGGATAGAGAATCTAGAGATGAACCCAGCTACATATCATCAGTTGATCTTCAATAAGCCTAATAGTAACATTCACTGGGGAAAAGAATCCTTATTTAACAAATGGTGCTAGGAGAACACCTCGCACCACCAACAAAAATTGATTCTTGTTTGATAAAAGATTTAAATTTAAGATATGAAACAATTCTAGAAGAAAGTGTGGAGAAAATACTTGAAGATATTGGACTGGGAAAAACCTTTATGAGGAAGATTCCTTTGGCAATTGCACCAACACCAAAAATAAATAACTGGGATTTGATCAAACTAAAAAGCTTTTGCACAGCTAAGAGTATCACAACCAAAGCAAACAAATTCCCGTTGGAATGGGAGAAGATTTTTGCATGTTATGAATCTGATAACTAGAATCTACAGAGAACTCAAATTAAACAATAAGAACAGTGCCAACAACCCTCTCTATGGCAAGAGACTTGAACAGAAACTTCTCCTAGGATGGCAGATGAATGGCCAAAAACACATGAAAAAATGTTTATCGTCTTTAACCATCAGAGAAATGCAAACTGAAACCACTCTAAAATATCACTTAATCCCAGCAAGATTAGCCCACATCGCAAAGTCCCAAAACATCAGATGCTAGCATAGATGTGGAGAGAAGGGAACACTTCCTTTCTGGTGGAATTACAAACTAATACAGCCTTTTTAGAGAGAAGTATGGAGAATCCTCAAAGTTCTAAAAGTAGACCTTCCATTTGACCTAATAAGGTCAATCACATTACTAGGAGTCTATGCAGAAGAACAAAATCATTTTACCACAAAGACATTTGCACCAAAATGTTTACTGTGGCTCATTTCACAATTGCCAAGTTGTGGAAGCAACCTAAGTACCCATCAACCCATGAATGGATCAACAAATTGTAGTATATGTATACCATGGAATACTATTCAGCCTTTAAAAAAGATGGAGACTTTACATCTTTTACATTTACCTGGATGGAGCTGAAATACATTCTTATTAGTAAAGTATCTCAAGAATGGAAAAATAAATATCCAATGTACTCCATACTAATATGAAACCAATATATAAACAATTACATGCTCATATGAACAATAAAACATAAATAGAGTTT